TTTTCATCTAAAGAAAACTGACATTAATTTCTTGACAACCTATTACATTATTCACCTTTGACATTTGAATTAAATAAACAATGTATAAGCACCTTCTTAAAAACATTTTTAACATGAAGGTTTCTTAGTTACATTATGAGCTATAGTAAATGCGGCTGGTATAAAAAATTCATACAGTCACCTAATTGTATGCCAAGTTTGAACCAAATTATGTCATACATTTTTTACTAGATATCATTCTGAAAAAAGCATTGTCAGTGTTTAGAAATAAAAAGTATCAGAACACAAAATAATGGTCAATTAAAAGTCAGAATCCAAACACTATCACTATCAATACTGTGCAAATATTTCCTGAAAACACATTAAACAATTTAGCTTAAAAGCTAAATAAACATAACATTTTTCAACTAACATGATCCAATACAATTCTGAAATGTCAAAACAGTTATTTACGTACTGAACACTATAATAACTATGTTGGGAGTTCATTATATATATCAAATCATAATGAAAGTAAAATAATAAAATAAGCTAGCCCCTTAAAGAAAAATTACACCTCCCTTGCTTTGAATGCACATATGCATTAACTGTAACCACTATAGATATAGCTGCCATGTTTTAGTTTCCAGTAACTAAAATACTGGCAACACAAATCATGTACCAAAATACTGGACAAGTAATTTGTTATTTAAACACATTTGTTATGCAGGTTTGAGCTTTGAAAGTTCTTTCATAATAGACTGTTTGATTGGATATTAGTTATAAGATGTTATTTATCTAAGAGCAAACATAGACTGTTTGACTGCTTGTTAGAATATGGTTTTCTGATGATATTTATCTGAGAGAAAACACAAGCTGTTTGATTATTAGAATATAATTTTCTGATGCCATTTATGTGAGAATAAATATAGCTGTTTGATTGATCACAAGAATATAGTGTTGTAAGCTATATTTTTGATGAGTTAATTTTTGTTAGCTAGAGGAATATGTGGGTAATAATAATGTTAAGATCAGATAGGCATAGAAAATTTTAGATTTCACATCAAGTTTTCTAGTACATTCAAGAGATAATTGTGAAGATTGTACAGTTGTTTCAAGGTAGAATAGTCATTATTAGCTAGAAGAGTGAATCAATCAGTAATTTTGTTTTGTTTCAGCCATAATGTGATACAAGTAAGTTTATTCTTTATGTTAACTCAGTGCAGTTAGTGTCATCTATAAACATGGTCTACAGTTGTGTACGGTGAAGGAAGTTTGCAAAAATGTTGAGGAAGAAGTAAACTAATTTGATATTATTTACTTTGATTGTACATTGAATTATTTTTTCAACAAATAATTTAAAAGAACCTACCAACAAAAAAAACAATAGTTTTCTGATGTCACTTCCTTGAGAGCAAATATAGTTTGATTGATTAGTAGAATATAGCTTTCTGATGTCATATATGTAAGAACAAATATAGACTGTTTGACTGATTATTAGAATATAGTTTTCAGTTATTGTTTATGTGACAACAAATATATATCATTTGATTAATTACTAGAATATACTTTTTATATGTTATTTATACGAGAGCAAATATACTGTTTGATTGATTATTAGAATATAATTTTCTGATGTTTTTTTATGTGAAAAATACATATCATTTGATTAATTACGAAAATATAGTTTCTGATTTTCTTTGTGTGAGACCATATATAGTATAAGCATTAAATAAGCATATAATATCTAATCATTGGCAGAACAAGCAGTTCAGGAGTCCCGAAGCAAAGAAATGATCGGGGCCTCTTTTTTCAGAAGAAAAGACCAGACCAGGCCCCAAGGCATTGCCCTGTCTGCCCTGCACTAGTTCTGCCTCTGTACCTAATATTAAGACCTAAACTGCTACTTTAAAGTCTACAATCCATAATGTGGGCTGATTTATCAAAAGTGCAGTGTGAAAACTCAACATGTAGACATAAAAAGCCTACATGTTAAACTTTGATATTACGGATGTATATAGCACTTGACCTCCAATGGTTTGAAAGGATTTGTATTTTAATACATATTATATAGAATTTCAAGTGAAAAAAAACAATGTTTTGAACATAAATACTTCTATACAATTTTAAGTGTTTTCTTTTTATTCCATTTCTTCCTTGTAAACCTTGTGTCAATATATGAAAATCTTGGTTCAAGAAAGATAAAGTTCAGTTCTGGTCTATTTTATATCTACTAAATTGCCTCTCAGCAAGTAAAATATATATCTTTCTAAATAATGAAAGATCATTAATAAATGTTCTATTACAATAATGTATATTACTGAAATAGATTAACAAAATGAACTAAATAATAATAAATGATAAACTCAAGATATAATATCAGATCACGTGGTTCACATGTACTTCAGTTGGCTGATATTTGGTTACTTTAAGAAACCTTTTAGACTAGTGGTATTGGACAAACATTCTTTATTATTGATATTTAACACTTAAATGTAATTCATTTTCAGGTGTTTTAAGTGCATTTACTTGTGATATAAAGTGATGTTAATGTGGGAATGTTTGTATAATAATTGTTCACATTTTATTCACTGAAACTGTTAAGTTCCTTTGAAAGTGACATTTCACATATTTTCATATCAGGGATTCATTATAATAAACACATTTCAATCTGTACTTGATTCATCATTCCTTACCCAGTAAGGCTATATGAAGTATATGTGTGGAAATATGCCTCTTGTAGTAAAATGTAAGATATGAAGCTTTCAGGATATTCTATACTTTATATTATATCAAAATATCACCAATTACTTAAGTGGCCATTTTCCTGGTTTAACCTGACAGTTTTCATTAAGACCAGTCATTTTCACCAAACATGTATTATTCCATGTCATGCATTTTTACCTTAATTTTCATTATTTAATTGATTTAATTGTTCATAAAATCACAAATAATTTACATATAATATGAAACACTACGCATTTGTGTTGAGGTTTCAAAGGTCTTGATACTGATGTTGTGAAGACCAAGTAAATTTAGTTAATTTCAAGGAGAAATCAATATCTCCTTTCAGTATGTGAGCACACCACACCTATAAGAGCTATTTATTGCTTAACCACATATAAATGAAGGATTTAGAATTATCCTGACTGTGGCTTTGAGTGCTATGGTATGTACATGATTTTTTAGTTGTTTTAACTCTTAAATTTTTTGTGTCATAGTAACAGTCTTCAGTTGTTGAATTAGAAGCATCTCTGAAACTGTTTAAAACAAATTCATATTTTAAATTACTAATTTTTAAAGATCCTCACTGCACAGTACAAACTTTTTTAGGTTTTATAGACAAACCAAACACAACCTATTCCAAAGACCAATCACCCTGTTAGAAAACTAAGTTGAAGATTACTTTTACCCTGCTAAAAATTTATATTTGTGCTCCCTTGTTCTAACATGAAATAATTTTTAACACCTCAATTATATCCCCTCATTTAATACTTTTCTACTAATTATTTTTTATATGTTTCAACTACTTAACATATCTAATATATTACCCCAGGCCTCAACAAATCCTGGATGCCAGGTAGCTATGGTGACTAAACATTTCATCATGGCACCTAGTATTTTCTTCCAATTTATTTGTGCATAGGACTGTATTAAATAGAATTTGAATCTAGAACAGTTCTGGACTCTTGGAACTCCTGAACTATTTTTGCATAAAATCGAATTTTGTTTCTAGGATATATTGGCGGATTCAGCACTTCACGTTTTTCATTTTCTTCTTTCTCTCAAATCAACCAATAAATGCACGTGTTTAGACTCAAAAGGGACCATAGGCAGTTAGTTAAGGCAATACTATCAAGTGTTGTTGATATCACATGATCATTAGCATGCACACGTTGCTAAGAAAGTAAATAAATATACACTGATGCCTCAATTATCCGCACTGGTCCGAGGAAAGCAAAAAATTGCAGATAAGAGAAACAATAGATAATCGAGGCACTAGTGCATCTCACTACTTAGCCCACTGTTTAATCTAAATTTTTCAATATATTTAAATTCCTTGTTTTAAATTAATCTTTTTACTGTCATTTAATCACATTATCATGAAAAAATTATAAAAGTCATCACAATCATAATAGCAATGTGCCGGTCAGTCATTCGGTCACGCTCAATTTTTTCAAATTTTGTAAGTTACACAAGTCCAATTCCACCTTTTCTCCTACAATTCTTCCTCTTTTGATTGCCCCTCCCATTTTAGTTGAATTTAATCACTAACATAGATGTAAATAGCTCCTAAGTTTCAGCACTTTTTCTGCTATAGACCCTACCAATGCCTGTGCAAAATCCTTTGTTAAACAGACTGAAGTTACCAATTATCCATAGAGAAGAGCACAATGCATATCTGGGCAACACCCCAACACAACCTGAACATGGATCTGTGGTCAAAGAACACTCATCATGCAGCATAGAACGGTGGACGACAACTGAAGTTGAGTGAAATCTTTAAGAAATCTTAATGTGTATTTTGTGTGTCTTTTACACTATGTTTTTAATCACTAATCAAATAAAATTAACCAAGATACAAACAAATATTTGGTATTCCTATCTTAACAGCTAAAAATAAAAGAGGCAAGGTTAGGTTTGAACCAGCCGACTTACAATTTGAACAACACCAGATCCTGCATGCAAAAATCCCAGATATCATACAACACCTGAACTTTTGCAACCAAAATTAATTTCTGAATGACAATTTCTCCAAGACATGTAAATTATTGTCCAGAATTGTAATGGTACAATTATTTTTAAAAAATTGGGGGAAAAGAAAAAAAAATGCAGATAACGGAGGCACGTATAATCGAGATACTAGTGTAGCCCCATTTCCTGGTATAAATAGTAGTTAAGTTGGGTTAGACACACTGACTCCTGAGTTTGGGTGTTGGGTCCTAGATTCTGAAAATATGCTTGAGGCCTGTATTACTCAGTTAATAAATTAAGCATCATCACCATTCATTAATTACCCCAGAGTATACAAAAAGTATTATTTTTACATGTTCATATTTTTGCCTCTGAGATACTAAATGTAATCCCACAAGAAAGGCAGTAAATGTTATGATATACCAGTTTCTTCTTTTAATATTAATTGGCATTTAAATACAGTTCAAGATACTGTAATCATTTGTGTGATGAGAATATTCTAAGTTTTGCCTGTTTGTCATCTGGAATAAAATTGTGACTTTTCTTTTAATTTGAGTATGAAGTTTCAAAATAAATTAGACCTGACAGAATTTAGTTTTTCACAGTAAAAGAATATACACACACACACACACACACACCATACATACAGATTTCTGCAAGACAAAAAACAACAGCAAATCTACCCTTCTTTATTTTTCTTTTGTTTCCTTATAGTCAGAAATAATTATTAATAATCATATGATGTGTGGAAACATGTGTTTACATATGGGCCTATAAATATTCATTTTTATATTTTGAAATTTACTAATAATAGAAAAGTACTCACTCATCTTTTCCTGCATTCACAGCAGCATGCTTCATTAACCATATGGCTGTGTTCTGACACACAGAAACCAGTTCAAACACCACATCCTGCTGAGAGCTAGAACAAACACAAACTTCCTTGTACTTTTTACAAGTTTACCTAACATGCACAATCTAGTAGTTACCTGGATAGTACAGAAGCCAGTATGCACATCCAGAAATCCATAAAAATAATATGATTCAACATTAACATACAAAAACTTGAACTTAAAAGCCTATCTATTTTAACCCTGCAAAAAGTAAAACACACAGATAGCACTGGCACCTGCCAGTTTGTAAATTACAAGCATTTTTAAGATGTTAAGCTTAGATTATGGCCTTTTCTGTAATTTTAGGACAAAGACTAATTTCTATTTTGAAAGATAAAAATATATTTTGGATAGAAAAATATATTACATGAACAGGCCTAGAGAGGAAATGTATTGTACAATAACATTATCAAAGTTGAGAATCCAAAGAAATACTACAGGAAATAGTATTTTGAATATTTTTCTTGAGAATCATGCAATTTCATGCAGTATTTTTTCCGGAATACACAAGACAGCATTTTATTTCCTTGCTTTTCAAATTTATCAAATGCTATGCAAAGTTATTTTGTGTAGCAATTTCTGCTAGGTAAAATTTTTGAAACAAATTATCTTCTGGTTTAAATAAGCAGTGCTATTTTCCATCTAAATTCTAATGGACTATAACATTACAAATCTATTGCAACAGAAGACAAGCTAGTTAAATGGGCTGGGAATTATTTAAGTGGTATACGGCAGATGGTTGTTATTATCATAGACTATATTTTTCATGTTAGCTAGAGGGTGCATAATATAAACATCAAGTAAGTTTGTGAGAGAAGACTTAGAATATTCAAAATGGACATCATAAAAACATAGGGGCTTTGTAAAACATATAAAACAAGAATCAGACATAAATTTGGTTCAGCCAGTCAACAAGCCAGGTATGTATGTTTTCAGTGAAACATAAAGATAGACAACTGTTTTCTAGCCAGTAGAGTGAATCAGTCAGTATGTACATTTTTGGATCCATGTAAACTACTGTGCATACTGAATCACTTTAACAAGTAAATTGTTTGTTTTTTTATTGTAGTAGAGATAGTGTGGTTGTGAGCAAAGGCCTATTAGGCCTAGAAGAAGTTAAAATGTACAAGCATGTAAAGAAACATTAAAAAGGAAATAAAAATAATTTGTTTTTGTCATGTGGACTGGACCTTGAATTATCTTCACTGGATAATTTAAAAAAACAACATTATGACATTATAAATGTGGTGAAATCACAGTGGATTAATATTACAAGATATGTATCTCAGGGCTCTGTGCTAGATCTTTTGTTACTCTCGTAAATTAAATTAACCAATTAGTTCATGTGACAGTATCTTTGATGTAATCACTGCTCATGGGTAATTGATTATATTGTTTAGTCAATTAAATTGCCCAGTATAGAATAGAATAGAATAGAATAATCATTAATCTTTTCTTTTCTGAAATTACTTACATACACTTAACTGTGATCACACAAATGCGCACACTTACCTAGGAGTATTACCCAGCAAGGAATTTGTCCATCTGAACCGAAGCGCATACCTTAACTTGCTTTCTCCTCCCCTTTCATCTGCAGCAATAAAAAGACCCTGAAGTAGTGCCAGGTAGTTGTTTAGTGCAGTTTCTACAGCAGTCACAGTATGATTTGGATCACAAAGCAACTCCAATAGACTGTTCCGAGCTTGTGTCAACTCACTATACAAGTATAGTATAAGATCTTATTTTTGTATATTTAAAAAAATGACAGTTTTGATATCAATCAGTTCAGTGTAAATTTTGTTTAAACACATAACCTAGATGGTCTAATGAGAGTTAATAAAGACTGAAAAAGCATCACCCAGCTTGTTATAATATAGAACTCATCACATATGATGAGCAAATATGTTTCATATAACAACTATATAATTTGATACCTGTTATATGACTGAATTTTAGCATTATAGTTCAATTCACCTGTTGATTCCTAGAACTGAGGAAAAGGCCTTGTAAACAGTAGCCTACAACAGAACAAATGTTTATGAAATGCTATTATACACTATTCCTACACAAAATGCACATTGGGCCAATTATGGGTGCAGAATTTATAACTGTTGTCTGTAAGTTACATCATACCTCTTTCATAAAATAGTTAATTATCTATACTTATTACTAGGCATATATTTTTAGTTCTGATATATGTAGGTAGCTTGCTTTGATCAGAAGTTAATATTAAGCATAGTTGACAATATACTCAGTGGTTTCCAATTCATGACAGAAGACATAAATTATGTAACTAAGAACCCCAATTCTGACCAATCACAAAATTAGAAAGAAAAGTGTGGGTTTAATAAGACATCAATCATTTTTCAGCTGGAAATACAAGTGAGGAGAGTCAACTAGAGTGAACAAGCGTTATCTTTTAACCCTATCGCCACAGGTATCCTTTACTGCGAATGACACAAAATCTTAGCTAATAATTCGGATTTTAATAGTATACAAGTTCTAAGTTCTTAATTCTATAAGGCAATATTTTTAAAAAATCCTGAATTTCCTCTATCATGACACATTTTCTCTAAGTATCTTCTCTATTTTATCCATCACTCCTCCAAAAAGTATGAAATTCAATGTAAATTACTCACTATAAAATTGTCATTGCTCAGACAAACCATAATTTTTATAGCCTTCAATTCTGTATCATTACAGAGCTATCACATAGAAAATCATACACCACATACCACACCCACCTGTTACATCATCTTTTTCAGGATTCATTAATAGTTCTCTCTTCCTTTTAATTATACATTATCTATAACCAATAGAAAGCGAAGGTTTTCATCTATCAAATGACATATTGTATAACATTGTGTTCTGAACAGAATATTGTTAATTTCACTTAAAATACATGGTTCATTCCCATGGGGAAGTTAACGACTAGCTTGGATAAATTTGTAATGGTTTTTGTCACATTTTTAGAAATCCAGAAAATTTTTGAGAGTTACAGGAAATTGTCTACTTTTTACATGTCATTAATCTATGTTCTTTGGTGTAATATTTAATTAAATAAAAATTACTTAGTGCATTACTACTATTTGTACAAAAAAGGTAGAGTTAAGTGTCACTGACATGGGTAAGTATTTCTTGTCTTTCGTGTTTATTCTTTATTTACTATTATAAAAATAACTAAAATGTAAAAATACGGAACTCTTTAGGTTAATGATGTTTAGATTAATATTTCATGAGACACATGCGAGCAGCTCAGAGTAGCTCATGAGTAATGTAATTCATTAGCATAACTGAGCTGCACATTCCCCAAGTGATTTACAACTTATAATGGTGCAAATAGTGATTAGACACAGTTCAAAGGGCAATAAAACAATAAAATTTAATTATAAATAGATGTACACTTTTACAAGTTTAAAGCTACTTCGGATACTACATTTGAAGTCATTCTAGAAAGAAAAAGAAGGTAATTTTGTTTTATTTAGATTTTTTTTTTTTGGTGGTTACAAGGTCAGTGAAATTGATCTACCTTGTATAGAGTTATGGTAGAGAAAATTACAGATAAAATATAAAGTTTTACTGAAAATAAACATTTGAAATGTACTTAGAAGGTTTTAGAGATTATACAAATGAAATTTGAGATTTTTGAGAGAAAGAAAAGTGTTTTTGATCTTAACGTGAAAATCACTTTGCACAAGGACTATTCAAACAAATACTTGATATATTCAAGAACAAGTCTATTTTTAGTTTATTAAAAATACTTCACTAAAAAATATGATTTTTTTGTATGTTTACTGAAATACTGCCAAATTTCATGAAGATATACATATTATATTAAAAGTTAAGTCATATCAAATCTATAATGACTTTGAATGAGTACAAAGAGGCCACATGGTCAGTCAAATTGACCAAGCCCATTTTGAGAGAGTTAATATTATCTATTCATGAGTATAAATTACACAAAACCAATGTGCCCTTAAGAAAACAGACTGACATAACTGTGTAAGTATTTATGAGCAAGATTTATCACAAAAAAAATATTAACCCTCTTGCGACTACTTCCGTACCTTAGAAATAAATTCAAAAAGTGTTTTGGATCCTTTTTACTAGGAAGTTTCAGTGATTTTGTAGTAATGAAAATAACAATAAAATTCACCCACCACTGGATTCCATGTTCACAGATTAGTAGCTTTACATTGCAAGTTCAGTTACTTAGTTCATAATTAATGACAAACAATTAAAAATCATACCTGTAAATCGACCTTTTGCTCCATGCTACCTTTCCATTAGAACAATTTTAACAAAATGTCAGTGATTTATTGTTTTACTTGGTAACCTGATACTGCATGACACGTATCAAGGCAAGATAAAATGTAGTCCCAAAATCATCCATTCATTTCAAACTCGTACACTTGTATTCATATTATGTGGATAGATAAAATGAAAATTCTCCATAACCAAATGTTAATAATGAAGTATGAACTTACCTGTGTACCTGTGAAAGAATAGGTGAGATTTTGTAATCACATTGGTTGTAAACCTGAAATACCATGATTGACAGGTATATATCAGTAGTAACCTATACCAATTCTACATCATGTCATAAAGTAATTGATAAATCATTTGTTACCACACCCAACGATATGACATATAGCAAACTGTTGTCAGGACAACATAGTCTGCTTAAAACTAACAATATTACATAAAGCAAAATGTTGCCAGGGCAACATATAGGCTGTTTACAATCCCCATTTATCATTTTTTGACATGCTGTTGGTTTGATTTGGGCAGACATATATATGTATCAGTTTATGCATTATGTAGTCCGCAACAACAAGTTTATTGTGTACCCTTTTTTCTATTAATACAATGACAAAAAAAAGAATTTTAAATGGTTATAAAGTTTTATTTGTGTGTTTTCAAATACTAAATGCTTCTGGATCCAATGAAACCAATCAGACTAAGGTAGAGCATCAAGAGAGTTGTGGTTTGATGTATCACATGCCCTTGTTGGTCCAGCCAATTCAATCTGACACCCTGATTTCAGTTTTAACATTCACTTGATGGTCACTGACAAATGGGGGGGGGTGGAATTGGCTTTAGCAATCTTCGTGATGTTTTTTAAAGCCGATTTCAAGTTAGTAAAAGTATGGTTGCCTTGAAATAAATCTTGCATATTCAGCATGTATTAGTACTGTAGACATTTTCCATTTGTTGTTCAGTGTACAATAAGTAGTATTTTATTTATGTGAGATTGAATTATTCACAACTGCAATTTTGCATTCACATGCTTCCATGACCAAGAACTATAATTCTCTGGAACTCCCTATTTTTATAAACGTAATGAACATTATGTTTTCTTAATGAACTCCCTAGTCAGTCTCTTTTTCTTCAACACAAATAAAATTTAGTTTTAACTCCATGATTCTTATCCTATCTGTTCCTCCTGTTATTTGCAGTTATTATCCTTACCTGTAACCAGCGTAAAATAAATCAGTGAGTCTGAAAATACCCTCACACTGAAAGTAGTAAAGCTGTTAAGCAGTAGTATTTCTAGCTTAGTAGCTACGAAAATTTTATTTTTCTAACAATTAAAAGATAGTACACTCTACTATTAGTAGTACTACTTTATAAGTTTATCAAAGATAGGGTTAAGCTATGTATAATTATATTTCAAACAGTGTTAACTTTATTTATATAAAATAATAACAATAAAACTGCGTAACTATTGACTGATAGTGATAGCGTCGGTGATCAAATTATAATAATAATAAAAAAAGGGAGTATCCCGTTACTTGCGATAGTAATACTAATACTGTGGTAAATATAATGTTATAGTCCACCCTCTCCGGGAGCTAAAACTTAAATTTAACTTTTAACTTAGGACGTTAAAGTAAGTTAACGTCTTATTCGGTTATTGAGGCTGAGTTACTCTAATCTAGTCGGTAGTCTTAACTTAAGCCTTAAAGTTAAGCTTTTTTTATTTTAAATTTAATAAATAAATAAGATGTTGAAATCAAACGTCAGTTATTTTCATTCGAATGTAAGAAGTGCATACCTGCATATTTTAAGTGCTTGGCCGTCATTAGAAAACACTTTTATGGCAAAACGAACATTAACAGTTGCCTTCAAAGGATTACGATGAAACCAATGCGCCATAATTGTTTACGTATGACAAATATTAGGAACTGACGTGCAAAAAAAACGAGAAATTGTGTGACATTTTCTGTGACATCATAACCTTTATGAAATGTGGCTCCTGTGGCTTTCTGTCGCATAATAAAAGCTTTTTGTTTGTTTGTTTTTATTTTAATTTATAAATTAAGTTCAATAATACTTTAAGTTAATATCAACTTCTTATATTTAAATGAATGTAGTAGCCACTAACTGACCTACAACTTAAAACAATTTTGTGAGTATGTAATGATGATAATGTTTGTCTTTCACTTATTTAAAAAAAAAATAGTAATATAGTGTTTCGACACATTGGGGACGCTCGATTATTGTTTTCCCTTTCACTTGTATAGAACAAAAACAAAACAGTGTACATGACCGCAAAAGCAATTTTTAACTGTCAGTTGCTCAGCAATATTTATAGAAATATATAACAATTATTATCCGTTGGTTCTTGTAGCTTAATGAAAATATTTTTAAAATGGGCATTTTGTAACATTCAAGATTAATAATAATACCAAATAATTTTAATTCTCTAAGTAAAATTTATCCAAGTCTTCAATAACACAGGTATCACAAACTTTATAACCTTATCGCTATGAAATGCCTGAGAGAAAAATTAAATACAAATTTATAGATACTTCAACCAGGGTATATGAGTGTATTTGCTTCCTGGTTTAAAGACTTGTGCCACTTTCCTTATAGATTAAAAAAAATTACATAAACGTTAACTATACTTCCAGTACTGGAAGAATTTCTGAAGCAGATATAAGTGTTATATATTCGACATCAAAAATTAATCAAACGATGCACTTTACTAAATGCAATAGAAATCTCTATTGAACCTGCAAATAAGGAGTTGACTGTAATTATTATCTGGCTTATTGTAAGATGCTCCAATTTAAGTTTTGTATGTTACAACCACTGGTGTAACAGACATAGGTTCCGGCTGTACAAGGAACTTGGATACCAAAGAGTTATGGGACATAAAAAGTAGGTCAAATTTTCTTAACGCTATACTAGTACAGCTAGTTTCTATAAAAATACAATTTATAAATGTTAGAATTAAAACATAATCTTAACCGTAGCCCTAAAAGAGTCTGTAACACAACTGGTCATAACGCAACCGGCCTGATGAGCTTTGGCATAGAACAAAATGCTTCGTCGGGAGCTGTGCTTACCAAATAGTATTGTTGCGTCATCGAAGTCACATGACTAGTGT